GGTTATGAACATCGTCCAAAGAACGGAGTTTTAGAACGGATAAGGGTTGGGGTGTGGGTGGGGATAATGTGGTCTTTTCGTTTACTGTATCAGCTTGATTGTTGTTGGTTGGATGGATTCTCTCGAATATATTAAATTAATGCCGTGGTTTAATGTTTTGATACTCTTTGTTTAATTTTTATTTTGAAAAGTGAACGTTGTAGAAATCAAATACTCAATGCTTCACTTGGTCTCTCACGTGTTTCTGCTACTCTACTTAAGTGTGATTTTCTCTCTTCTGTTTTATTTTACCTTTCCAATTGGTGGGTTTGCTGCAGCACTGGTTTGTATGATCTCGTTTTTGCACTTTTTTATGTTTTGCTTTTCTGTATTAGGTTGTCACCAGCCTTGGTCCTTGAATTCTCCGAAAGCTGACTGGTTTGATGAGCTTGTGGTAGTGATTGTGGTAAAGGTTTAACGCATGAAGAAACTATTTTTTTTCAAATCTTCTGCATCCAGCAGTGGAAGCAACCATGCTGCTCCGCCAAAATCAACAAACAAGCAAACGGGGTGGGATAATTTTTCAGAAACTGGAATGAATAATCAGGCATATGGTAAAACTGAGGATTATTTTGAAACCTCCAAGGGCTTGTCCTCCAAATCCCGAAAGCATGTTTCTGACAGCCAGAGTTCTTGTGGTGGTCCAGATCTTAGAAGGAGCAGGTCACTGTCTTCATCTGCTTACCAGTTTAGAGATCCAACCAGGTCTCCAAGTAGCATTGTCAGTGATCCATACCAGCAAATTGAGCATTCATCTCGGTGAGACTTGATAACCTAACCATGAAAGAATAATATTGACTGAACTGAAGTTTATTCCACAGTGTATTAGTTATATTTTGCACATATTTATTTTGGCTGAACTTTGTATGTGTATATATCAGTTGTCAGGCTCCTAGCTATGAAAAACAAAAGCGGGACAAGCCAACCCAAGTTGCAGTGTCTTCTGTCCTAAATTCACACAGATACGAGAGACCTGGGTCTACTAGTTCTTCAAGATCTCATCACGAGTCATCTGGGAACTCCTCCACTTGCTCTAGCAACATTTCTAGTAAGGTTGTGGATCGTTACATTGATGGAGAGCAGCAGCCAGAGGAAAGTAGACCCAGGAACAATTACCAAAGAAACAGTAGTAGACATGGGAATTATGGTGTGAAGCTTCCTCCAAAAGTTCAGCATACCGCACCTAATTCACCAACTCATGGAGTCAAAGATAAACCAAGGACTCATTCATTTAGAGAAGCTAAAGCTACCCGTCTTCGTTTCTCATCCCGAGATTGGACAGAAAATGAGTTTGGACATGAGTCACCAAGGAGTCTTGCGAAGAATGTGATTGAGAGACTTTCTCAGTCTTATGATCTCCCTCAGACTTGTTCAAAGAATTTTAATGTCGATAATCCAATCACAATTGAAGATATCTATTCTAGATCTGTGAATGGACACTATGACTCTGATTTTGATGATGCTCAGCCAAATAATGATTTGTCGGATGAACCCTACAGAATGACAAACGGATATCATTGCATCAATGGCAATGGTGAGGGTTTAAGCTGTGATGAACCTGAGGAGGGTGCAGATGCAGAACTAGTGAGAAGATCAAAGGAGGCCGAGGAGAGGGTTATTCTTCTTTCAAAGAAACTGGAACGAGAAAGCTTTTTCCTTGATGGTGGTTATGATGTGTCAGCACTGATTCAGACAATCAGACATCTACTAGAGGAGAAAATAAGCTTGGCTCTGGAAGTTTCAACCCATCTAAGGTCTCAAATTGCTGACAGAACATCTGCCAGGGAAGAACTTAGCCGTGTAAAGACAGAACTGGAGTTTCGGACTCAAAGACTAGAAAAAGAAAAGAATGAGATGCAGTCAGCATTGGAGAAGGAATTGGACAGGAGGTCAAGTGACTGGTCATTTAAACTTGAGAAGTACCAGTTAGAAGAGCAAAGGCTTCGTGAACGAGTTAGAGAGCTTGCAGAGCAGAATGTATCACTTCAAAGGGAAGTCTCTGCTTTTAGTGAGAGGGAAATGGAAAGCAAAAGTGTGATGGCATATACAGACCAACAACTCAAGGGATTGACTGATCAGACAGAGATAATGAACAAGGAGATTCTGGATTTGCAGCAAAATCTCTTGGAACTACAAGAGAAATATAAGCTAGTAGAAGAAAATAGGGACTGTTTCTTGAGAAATTTTGAAGAGAAGGAGAAGGAGTGCAAGGAGTTACACAAGTCCCTAACAAGATTGTTAAGAACTTGCAGTGAGCAAGAGAAGACAATAGCAGGATTACAAGATGGGCTTGGTGAGGAGCTTCCTAAGAACCAACCCATGGAGAGTGTTGAGAAGCACATTGCAAAAATGAGAATGGAGCAATTAAGATTAGCAGGAGTAGAACTGGCCTTGAGAAAGGACTTGGAGTCTTGCAGGTTTGAGGCAGATTCTCTTCGTCACGAGAATATCGTACTTTTAAACCGGTTGAAAGGTGACAGGAAAGAATGTGTTGCGGCTACTTTTAAACTAGACAAAGAACTATGGGCCCGCATCTACTGCCTTCAGAATCAAGGCCTAACAATGCTAAATGAAAGCACATTCTTGTGTTCAAAATTACTGGAATTTGTAAAAGGGAAAGGAAGCCATCTTCGTCAAAATGTCCAGATGGATGTAGAAGTGATTGGAAATGGTTTAGATGGGCAATTCATTGTTGAATCTGAAACTAAAATCCAGGGATTCCGAAGTGGCACTGAGGGTTTAACAAGGAGTTTGCAGATGATGTCTTCTTTGTTGAAAGATAAGTCAAATCCATTGGGTTCTAAATTTCAATCAGAGTGTATAGACGCTGCTAAATTAGCTAAACTGAATGATCAATCATCTGAGGTGAGTTTTTTCAATTAGTTTCTTTAGTGTTAGTATTATTAGAGTACATATTGTAAATCCTCTATTCTACTATTATCTTTGTGTTTATTTATTTTAAACCTGTTTAACATAATTTGCTTATTGAAATTCTGATAGCATATGGATCATGTTACTTGTATAGGATATTATAAGAACCGAACTTAAAGCAGAATGTTTGGTAACAAGTTTATTAAGAGAGAAGCTGTACTCTAAAGAACTCCAAGACGAGCAGATGCAAGCTGAACTTGCTACAGCAGTAAGAGGAAACGACATACTTAGATCTGAGGTGCAAAATGCGTTAGACAACCTTTCAAGTGTCAACCACAAGTTGAAGGACCTTGAACTTCAGGTGAGTCACCAGTTGAAAATTTTACTAAACTCATCTAATGGATGTTTATTTATGGTACTATGTTATTGGCTGTCTTGAGGGTAAAAATAGCTTAGGTAAATTTTTCAATTGCTATTACTTAAGCCTGTTGACCAATTCCCTGGAAAAATTGAGACAGATGTTGAAGAAAGATGAGAGTATAAACTGCCTTCGAAACGATCTGCAAGAGTCTAACAGGGAATTAACAATCATGAGGGGTAAATTGCCCAAAGTGACAGAGGAGAGAGATTATATGTGGGAACAAGTGAAGCAATATAGTGAGCAGAATATGCTGTTGAACGCTGAGGTCAATGTGTTGAAGAAAAGGATAGAGACACTTGAAGAAAATAACCTCGAGAAGGAAGGTCAAATATCCATCTTGCAAGACTCCCTTGCCAAAAATTCATTTAACGATATCCTTGGAAGTCCTGAGCATGAATTTTTTGGTACAAAATTACGATAATAGCTTGTTTTCTCGTAGGGCCATTTCATTGTTCATAGTCACATACATCTGTGAATGAGTTTTTTTTTTTTTTTTTTGTTAAATTGTTGCTCCTTTTATAATATGTTTCACAGCGTTTTTCTTTAAATATATGTGAAGTGTAAGATCGAACAGACAAGTTATAGAATACAAAGTGCCATTTTCCCTCATTCCTTGGGGAATCAGTGTTCTTGTCTTCCACCTGAACCGTGGCTTCTAGTTGGTGAATATCTTTATGGCCGTTTCAGCAAGTAGTCTCCTAAGTAATAAAAAGTCAGTCAAATTAGTTCCTATATTTTATTAAAATATATTAACTTAGGAACCAAATGGATAAATATTCAATATTTGAATAAATATTTGAATTATAGTCCAAAATTACTAAAGCTTGCAGTAGTAGCTCCTTTACACTACAACTTATTTTCTTCCTAGCTTTTTACCACTTAATTACACTACAACATTCTCAAGAAAATAAATTGTATTGTAAATGACAATGTTGCATTACATGAGGGTACATACCAAACAAAAATGATTATGAAGGAATGTATTAGATAAAAATTAGTGTCGAGAAAAACTAAATAAAACCATTAAAAAGGACTTATAAGATAATAATTCACTTATAAACATGATTTATCACAAAATATTTTAACATTTTATGCTCCAAGCAGTTGCTTTCACGTATTAAGAAAAAGAGGGTTGTTTTGTATAATATTAACAGGTGACTGAAATCGATGCCGTGTCACATTTTATTGTAAAGATCTACAAAAGGCTGCCATTAAAAAATAATATGGAGACGGCTATGAAAAATTGCAGATAGTCTTACCGTGAAAATATTTTATTATAAATGTTAGATATCGATTACATTTCATTTCAGTAAGTTTCAATAGTGAGATGCTGGGAACTGAAATTGCATCTTATTTTAATCCAAAAAAATTGGCAAACTTTTTTGACAGCGGATTTTTGTTTTCCAATTACTTAATATTTAAGGTTCTAAAATATCTCAGTTCTCCCACAAACCACATGTTGGAAGTTAAAATTTGTTCCCTTTATTTATTTCTATACTCTAATTTTACAAATTTCCAACGGCAAAATTTTCAATGAAGCACGATAACCTTTAACTCAATTAAACACTGATAGGCTATGCACAAGAAAGATAGGATGCAATGAATCTAACCACAACTTTTGGAAAATAATTCTTGATCCCGTGGAACTTGCAACACACATAACATGGAGCATGCACAAATGAGTAGGAGATATGACAGGATTTATTACCATGAAGACCGAAATTCATAATTGTAGATACTATCCTTGAGGGAATCTAACATGGAACATACATTTCTTTTGGTACATAGAAATCACATATTTAAATAAGCTACCCCTTCTTGACTGGTCCAAATAGAAACTACAGTGATGCACTTTTCCAGAAGTCAATTGGCTTCCTTTGCTGAAACCAAATAAACAAATATATGATTAAGAAAATAGTACTTACAAAATCTATACTGCTCCAATAAAAACAAGAGAAGTGATAACCACATATTTTTCCAACACTTTGTTTATTATGATGTGAATTTCACTTAGGAGTCACTAAGCAGACAGGTTTTTTAGTGAGACTAAAATAAAATTTATGCAATAATAAGAAGTGTCAAATAATGCTTTGTTAGAATTGCTCACTAGAATCCATGCCTGCACAAAAACCAATTAATCCATCCCTGATTCAATGTACAAGTTCCATGATTATAGATAGATATTATAAACTTACCTGGGCAATTGGCATTTTCTCTCTTACTGAATCAACATATGATAAATCAATATCAGCTACCACAATGCCTGTAGACAAACGATCTGAAAAAGAAAAGAAAACCACCATGGAATTCAGTAAAGTGTGGTTTAAACAAAAAGAAACAATGGTAATACAAGAAACTACTGCAAGCAATACATTGTTTGAACCATATAGAATAGATAAATATGTATGATGGCATAAAACAAAAATTTTATTTTTAATGTATAACAAACTCATAATAGCTGAAACAATCTAAGATTGACAATGAAAGCCCCACTACAAAAAAATTTCCACCAAAGAAAGTTCAAGCCAAATTATGTCTTATCCGATAACTCTCACTCCCTTGGGTAAATAACTTGAGGCCACAGCTCATATATCCATTCATATTTTGTAGGCATGAAAGAAAACTATATTGACTATCATAAGGTCAGATCCATAAATCCCAAATACTACTATAATCAGGGATATACGGAATTTCCCATTTCTCGAGTGTTTGCAATGACTTATAAATGATAAGTTTATTTGAGAACAGTTGGGTATAAATCCTTTAAGTAGTGGCAGGTCTCTTAACTTGGACTACAATAGGTCAAAAGTAATAAGAAAGAAGAAAACTAGGAAAGAAATTGAACACATTATGGTTAGTGGACTTCCAATTTCAATGAATTAACTAAATGAACATGAAGAACTATCAAGTTTCTTACCTGGTAATCGACCAACAACTGTTCCCCAAGGGTCGACAATCAATGTGTCACCATAGCTTTCTCTTTTATGATTATGTTTGCCAGCTTGTGCAGCAGCAACGACCTGATAATTCATTCATCAAACCATTCCTAAAACTAAGTGTGAAAGAAGGAAATAGTTGAAATACATTTCCTCATATAGCAAGAGAAAGAATTTAACTTGTGCAATCAAATGATTATATTTTAACACTTCAGCTAGGGATGATGGAAGCATGGGAGAAGAGGGGGAAGGGGAAGGGCAGGACTATAAGATGCAAAAATGAATTATTACATAGCACTGAGTCTCAATTGCTCGAGCACGAAGAAGTATCTCCCAATGTGCTTCACCTGTCACATTAGTGAATGCTGAAGGCACCAATAATATCTGGACATTGTAAAACATAAGAAAGTTTTAGATTCTAGACAACCTATATTATGCAGAAAAGTAATGTTTCCACTTATAACCTGTGCTTCATGTTTGAAACGTAACAACTGGTACATCTCTGGAAATCTCAAATCATAACATACACTGAGGCCCAAACGCCCAATAGGACTGTCTACAGCAACAATATCCTTGCCTGCACACATCACCAAAATACAAGATTTTCACATGAAAACATCATCCTTGTTAGTTCACATCATATCTAAGTGCCCCCCACCCCGTCACCACAAAAAAAGGGGACTATTCCTGCTCTATATTTTCAGTAAAAGGAAATGAAGAAGAAAGAAGGAAAAGTAAATCATTGGAAATATAATTGAATCACCATGACTAAGGGCTGTTTTGATAAACTCCTCCATGAGCATTTAAAAGAGAAGAAAATTTACAGGAACAATGAAATAAATTTATCCATAAACTAAAAATAGCTTATCTATAAGCTAATTTGTAAAAGTTCTCTTATATTAACTTCTTCAAAAACTTTTTTTTTAACTTATGCATAAGTTAATTTTAACTTATGTAGAAGCTAATTACATTTTTTCTTCCTATTTTCTTCTCCTACAAGTGCTTCTATATAAGTTTATCCCAACAAGTTCTAATACTAATTATCTTCTTTATTCTTTCCCTTGTTATTTCTAGGTATGGAAAACTTCAAATTGATCCTCAGATTCTTTATAAAGAAAAGGTTACAATGAGGACTAAAACAAGATAGACTCATCTAGTCTCAATACTGCATAGAGAGTAAAAATCCTACCAGGTTCTGTAAATCTACTTTCTTTATATACCCTTCCACCAGGAACATCTACATCAAACCTTCAAATAAAATAAAGTGAATAAAACATCAATTGTTATGCAACCATAATAGCACAAACATAAAGCAGTAAATTTCTCAAATTCAGGAGAACCAAACCAGACAAGTCATATATCTAGGAGTTGATAAACAATCATTTACATCAACACATCATCAATAGCTGTTAGGATTATAAGCTACTACTCTTACAGGTGTATCTTTTTGTAAGTGCTTCTAATTTTCCCGGTGTCATCAACTATAACGTGGGTATTACACAAGTGTTGAGGATCAGATGCTTTCTCTTGGAAGCCTCCAAGTGACAACCAGATGTTGGATTCTCTGCAGTGCATCAGAACAAGTAAATTTTTCTGGAAAATGTTAACCAGTGCAGCCCTTGTTAAGGAATCAAAAGTATAAAGTTTTAATTATAGTTTTCAATGAAAATGAAGATGATGAACAAAGTGATTGAATTAGCACCTGGCCAAAGAGCAGTAGTGGTTCATAATTGGTCCATCCAATGGTTCAGCAACGGTAACACTGTCCCCATCGTTAGTACTGATGAAAGAGAAGGCCTCGGGAAAGCAAAGTAATTTGGCTCCGGCTGATGCTGCTTCCTTTGCACACCCAACAAAACAAATTCAGCACTGAGTAATAATAATAATTGTAAAGAAGAGAAAAGGGAAGAGATAGAAGAAAATAAAGAGGACCCAGAAAAGAAAAGATTGAAAAGAAGAATACTTTGACGAGACGAGAGCAAGTGGCGAAATTGGCAGCGACGTCGCTGATGGATGTCATCTGAGCCGCCGCAACTCTGACAGGGGACATGGTGGCTGAAACTGAGAGTGGTGATGATTTGGGAATGGGAGCAGTCACATTCACCGAAGCACAAAACATTACAACATCTTACGTTCTTACATCATTATGAACCAAACAAAACAACATCACTCTGGATTTTTAGGACAAATCTTTCCTTACATACTTTGCATCGCCTTGGTTGGTCCCACAAAAACTCATAATACGACTTTTTTATCTAAATTTTAAAAGCCCAAGGTTTTTTTTTCTTCTCTATAAGATTCGTTTTGTAATTTTAAATTTCCAAAATTTGTAATGCTTTAATTTTAATTTTCTAAATTTATAAACTTGTAATTTAAAATTACACTTGTTTTTTAATCATTAAAATTATAATATTAGTTATGATTTTTTAGAAAACATTAATTAAATAATAATTATTATTATTATTATTTAATAATATTTAGAGAGCGTCTTCAATGAGATTTGTTAAATATTTATAACAGTATAAGTATAGATGTATTGTTTAAATTTTAAAAGATTTGAACTAATTACTTTTAACCTCTTTATACTCTTATATACACTTTAATTTGTTTTTATTTGCTCAATGTGGGAGTTTATAGTTGTCCAATACTTTCCTCAAGTATAATTAGTTTGGTTCAATTGTGACTTGCATACCTTTTATTTTGGCTTGGGTTGCTTTTAATTTTTATTTTTTTTTCTGTGCTTGTACTCAAACTCAACCTAATAGGTCTTGTGCCTCTCTACTTTATTTTTGTCTTATGAGCTTGTGCTTTTCTAGCCTAAAAGGCCAACGCATTTTTTTTTTTAAATAAATTATTTGGATCAATATAAACTTGAAAAAGTAGTTGCTGTATACACTTCCTTTTTATATATAAATATGTCTCTCCTCTTCTTCTTCTTTTTTTCTTTCAAAATATTCTTTTAATTAATTTTATTTTTAAATAAACTTGATTTTTTAAATTATATTTTTTCATTCACCACCTTTCCTCACTCTTTTTCTTCCTTTACATCATTTCTCCATCATACCAATTTCATCAAGTTTATCATTTTTAAACTCTAATTTTTCACCTCGTTTTTTTTTCTTACATTAAATATAAGGTATAAAATAAATTTTTAAATTACATTTTTCATTTATAATTTATTTAATACAACTTATGCACAACAGTAATTAGTCACATAAAAAAAAGTAATTTGGTAAAAAAAATTTCCAAAGACGTCTTTTTAATAAGGTATGATCATGTTGGTTCCTTAACAAATTTGTTTTTCAAACTTTCAGGAATGTTTTTTTTATACTTTTGAAAAATATTTTTTGGAGTAGTAAATTTAATATCTCAAAATTTACTTTTTAAAAGTATTTTTTTCATACTTATGAAAAATACTTTTCACATCTTTAAATTTTTTTTATTGAAAGTATAAAAAAAATATACTTCTTAAAAATACATTTTATTTCTAGAACATTAAATTTACTATTTTAAAAATATATAAAAAAAATTAGGAGAGGATTTGTTAAGTCTAAAAATTGGAGAATAAAAATAAAATTAAAGACTGTTTTGGATAGCAAAAAGAAATGAAGGTTTATTATTAATGGGGAGATGTGTATTTAGCAAAAGCCTTTGAGAAATTATATATATATATATATATATATATATATATATATATATATATATCTTTTTTTTTAATAAATACGTCAATTTTATATCTATTTCTTTTAAAAAAGCTCCTATGTATCATTTTAATTTATTCTCTTTTTAAAATAAATTTTACTTTTCAAAATAATATATTTACTTATTCAAAAACTTACTATATTTAAAAGTAATAATTTGCTTAAGTTAAATTATATTTTTATTCTCTATTTTAAAAATATGAAATTTTAGTTCTATTAACTTGACATTCCTTGTTAAATTTTAAGGTTAACCTTGGATTAGTTATCACACAAGTGACATGACAATTAGAAATAGAAAATAGACATGCAAAAGAATTAAAATTTTTCATTTATATTATTTTAATAATTGATTGATATTTATTTTATTAATAAATTTAATTTACAATTTTCTAATTTTAAATGCCATGTCACTATATTTCATGTGATATATATCAAATCATAAGTCAACGTAAAAATTTAAAAATCAATAAATTTTGAATTGATGATATGATAAAAATCCCTTATTTCTAAAATTAAGGGACTAAATGTCTTTGTATTTTATATAGATCAATACTAAAATTATGGATTAAAATTTTTTTAAGAGAATCAAAACTATAATTTAACCATTCAATTAAAAAAAATTAATTAGTAAAGAATATATTTATTATAGGAAATAAATTATTTCTGTTATATAATCGTCTTTTATTTTTTTTTTCTTCTAAAAGGTCAGTAATCAAGTTAGATAAAAACAAAATTTCAACATACAAGATTATTTCAACTTAATTAATAATTTTAAATTTGAGGAATAAATAAATTATTCTATTAAATACTAAAAAGAATGAGAAGTAATTTATAATAATCTTACTCAATTTAAGTAAGATTGTATGTAAAAGAAAATATTTTAGATTGTATGTAAAAGAAAATATTTAGTCTCTAGGAGGAAAAACACACTTTTCTACGTAGTACTTAATTAATTTAGCAAAATGGTCTTTGTTTTTTATCCCTTTATTTCGTGGGTCAGGCCATGCGGAAGAGCTTATCCTCATTCTCTCCAACTCCATGCATGAAAAGTTGATTGTGCGCCTACACATTATCCAAAATTATTTCTCTGCCAAGATCATGAATTAATATATACAAATGGAAAATATAGGGTTAACATACTGTTATATATATATAACTTATTCCATCTCATCCAATTAATCATTTATTGACTCCATCAATACAATGCTGATCATATCAGTGTGATAATTAAATTGTAAACGAAAGTGATGATGGTTAATCCTTCGTGAACCACATGATCATGATGATATATAACATACAAAACGAAATTCAAAGGTATATATCATGACCATATATATATATATGTCGACCCTGCAAGCGAAGCATCCGAATATTCTTTGACATATATAATTCATTTGAGGCAATCACTGATGAACATCCATCCAGTTTTGACATTTCTAACTATAGAAAGCTATTATGTTAGAAAATGAAGGAAGCTCGATGGATTATATTTTAAGGAAGAGTGTTAGCAACGCAATTTTTTCTAACACTTTTTGTTATTGATTAAAATTATTGATTGAAAATTATAAAATTACGTTTAAATTAAGGAAAAAAAAATTCATTGATCATGGCCCAACTAAATGTAGACCAAAATTCTTTTGCTGCTGAGCATGACAGTCGAAACGAAGACTCTGCATTAATTTGACACTGAGACATGCAAGATTCATCCATTAACAACAAAGTCATTGTTTCTTTTCATCTATTGCGCCTCTGATTATCCAAAGATATAACCACATCCTTTGAGTCACCCAGCTAGCTAGGGTCGAAATCGATGAATCCATGATATTATATAACTTTCAGAACCTTTCCGGAGCTACTTTTGGTGAGAAAGAAACCATGCGCAAATACCAATTCATCAATGAATACCCCAATGATAATGCATGATAAGTGATATCATTTGATAATAAAGGAGATGTAGATAAAATAGTGTCAACGAGACTTTTGATATATATATATGGATACCTAGATATCATTAATCAATTAACAATAAGAACTAAATATGTAGTTTTAACAATAAATTGCACAAAAATGAATAGCGGTAGTAGAATTGATGAAAAAAACTCGTGTCATTGATAATAATAGCCGTCACAAGAGTCTTTTCTCTTGTTTTCGAATTGGGCCAAAACCAGTTGGTATATATGACTGATTTGAACGAAAAACAAGTCTATTTAATACAAAATAGAATTTAGAAGTGTTTTTTTTTTTTTTTTTTAAGTTTTTCTACATAAAAAATTATTTATTTTCAATAAAAAAGTTCTATAAAAATATATTTTTAACTTATCCAAACAAGGTTAATAATTAGATGAGAAGGAAAACACTTTATTTTTAGATTTGCTGCCGCAATATATGGGCAGGATCCAAATGGAATTAAGAATGCCTTGAAAACGTTTCACTCCGTTAGTCTCTAAATACTGGTTTGAACGTTTGGTATAATTTGATATTTGATACATAATGGTTAATACATGTTTTCTATGACTACCATTGCATGTAGTATTTCACTAGCTAAAGATCCTGCTGCAACAATAATTTGCATTCAGTTTTTGCGTAGATTTATTCAATTATTTTTAATTATCTGATTTATTCATGATTAATGGAATGATGCGCGCGCCAAAAATGTAAAATATGTAAGGGAGACTTTCAGAATCTGGTTCACAATAATAAACGCCTTTCTCTGGGGAAACACCATAAAACGAGCTAGCTAGTGTTCTCTCTCTCTCTCTCTTTTATTGGTAAACTTAACACGAGCTAGTGTAATGTTTTTGTGGCAATATATAATTTTAATTATATTCGTATTAGAAAGAGAAATTCTCTGGTATTTTATGTTTCTGTATTCCATAATCTTCATTCTATCACAATTTATGGCATTGTGATCTTTCATATGCAGTCATCAAAATTATATTTATTCATCAATTTCAATTATGTGCATATATTCCTAGATATAGCTATGCACTTAAGAAAGCCACTGTAGGATTGCACTGGTGGTGAAAGGCTGAGTAACAATTCGCATTATTTTGAATTTCACAACTGATAATGTAAAAAAAGGCAAGTATACATTAATTGGTGATGGATATGCTTACAAGTTACAAGATCACAATGTTTTGGAATTGAAGATCTCACATCACATGACCTAAGAAACATTTACCAAAGGAAAATTACTTTCAACATCATATCCTCAACGCATGCATGCAAATGTAGGTGTAACCCATGTGTCCTTTTGCATGAATCAAAACACTCACAATTATACTTATTAGTGGATATCTCCTTTTTCTTATTCCTGCGCTTCTATATCGTAACTTTGTCCATGTTTCATACGCTATTACGTTTAATCCACTTTAATTTATTGCACAATAATGTTTGAGACATAATTACCAGCAAACTGGACTGGATGCAAAATCTTGGTACAACTGAACCAAATTTTGCTAAATTAGCTATAGCCTGCAGTATTTTTTATGATGTCAGGATACATTTATTGATCGATCTGAAACCAGTAAAGCATTGGAAAATTCAAATGATATGTTACATTCTACTTTATAGTAAAGCAACTAAGTTCAGTATTCTCCAACATATTGTTTTGGTAATTAAGCTATAAGCCTCCCAATATGGAAATATATAAAACCACCGTAGGATAGGATATAGCAATGTAGGTGTCACCCGAGTGTTTTCCTAAAAGCAAGAGGTAAATCTGAGACTCATGTTGTTGATTGTACTTTCTTTCTGCAGAGATTTGGTGTTTGCATTCAGATACTCTCTGGCACTTGAATTTGCTTTTGCCCTGAGTTACATATTAATTAATATATCCAAAACACAAAAAATAACAGCTATATATAGGCAGATTGTAATTAAATATAAAAAAAATTGACATTGTAAAATTTATAAAGACAAAGAGAAATTACTTTAACCAACATACTATATAGTTTTCCCTTAACCATCTACGACCCAATTCATTTTCTGCAAATCTCTACATTTTCCATTTTTTTATTTTTTATTTTTTATTTGTGGAATAAGAATAGATGCAATGAGTGCATTCGTTGTTTGGGACAAGCCAAGTTTACGAGGATGCCCTGTTTCGGGGCTATTAAGGAGGCTTCACATCCCATCAAAACTTTAGTGTATGGATAACAGCAGAGGTAAACCTAATTAAAATTAGTAATTAATAAAAATAATCCTCTCTGAATTACGCTGTTAGCAATAATTAAACGAAGTTTACAAAAACAAAGCCAACCCAAAACGAAACGAAAAACAAAGACTAATAAATAGAAAGAAAGAAAAAAAAAAAAAAATACAACACAACACAACACTATACCAAGAGACAATTCTAAAACCTCGTTTCTTCTCTGTCAGTTCCTCATGCTTCCCTTACTTTCTCTCTCTCTTCAACTTCTCTTTCTTTTCAAACACTGAAATCGTGTTTCTAGTTTCTCCATACCCATTTTCTTCAAACCCAAACCCTAACCGTTTCTCCCTCGCCACTTCTGTGACCCTTTCTCTCCCTCTCTGAAGCTTCAAGGTTCAGCTCACTCTGCCGTTTGTTTCCTTCAAAAACTCACCGAAAGTATTATCTTTTTATTCCTTTTCCTCTCATTCTGCTGATAAATTGCGCATCTTTTGCATACCCACATGCAGATTTTGTTGCTGTGAATTTCTGATTTTGTTTTTCTGTGTCCTAGAGTACTGCACGTGGTGATTTTATGGAGTTTTCTTTTCTGCATCTTATGTGTAGCGTTCCCACGGTTATAAGAACTGGGTTTGCAGGGTTTTTGGTGTATTAAGTGCTACTAATTTAGTTTAGGATCCACTTCCAAAGTTGCAATCTTTGTAGTGAATGATGTATCAGCAGCAAAACCAAAACCTACCCACGGTCTCGCAATCTCTGCTACCACAAACGGGTTCAGTAGCTGATGTTAAACCCTTCTCAATAAGGTACCAATGTGCTTGAAAAAGTTACCATAAACATACCTATGCATTTCAATTCATAAATAAGGTTTTATTTTATTGATCCTTTTATATTATGCCATTATTGCATGTTCTATTTTTAGATTGATCTCTTGAATTGCATTGTCTTGAGCTTGTAAAGTGTGAAGCAGTTGTTGATTGTAGGTTATTTAATTATAATATATGCAACCACACTTAAGTATATGATTATTCTCTGTTCAACAACTCTTTTTGTTTTTCGCTTTGCATGTTGTATTTCCTTTTATGAATTTTATCAAAACTATGTTAGATTTTGGAAGCATTGTTTGTAGGCTTGAGTTGTTTATCTTGATTACTGATAGATTATATAAATTATGTTGCAGACAGTTTGCTCTTGCTTCTCGTCATAGAAGTATCCTTCATAGCTGGCCATTTCATGAGAAACACTTGCATTTGTGTCTTAAACATGGTCTCAAGGAGGTGTTGCCACCATTTGGACCAAAAATTTCACTTGCTGAACCACTCAAAGGTTGTTCCAATTTTATGCATTCACCAAATGATAATATTAAAGAAGCTGATTCTTGCAAAGCTGAAGTTCCACGTCTCATTGATGACCATCCACAACATATTAAAAATGAGTGTGATCACAAATTCACCGACCCTTTTTCATCACATGAAGAGGGATACCTGCATAAGTGCATCATTTCTGCAAACTTATCCAAACCAGCAGACACATGTACCCTCCAAAGTTCAACTCATGTTCATAAGAGCTTGCCACCAATATCCAAGTCAGTGAAAGATAAACGCAGGAGGCGTAGAGGAAGATGTAAGAAACGCTCCATGGTAGATATTTTAGCTGTGGCACGGCACAGTACTTTAGAGGAGATCCATAGGATTAACCAGTTTTGTTATGCTGAAACTGTGATTGAAAGGTGTCATCAAACAGTGCCTTATGAAAATGTTTCAAAGTCTGAGTTAGTGAGTGAGGATTCATTTAGAAAAGCAGGAAGTGAAGATGATGGTGTAGCTAATGTTGATATGGCAGCAAAGGGGTCATTGCTTCTCAAGTTCAAGCTCAATGGATATGTAATGTAAATAGGAATTGCGAAACATTAATCGATTCCTTTCATATTTTTTTTTTTCTGTTATTATTCTTATCTTCATTCTAGAATTTTCTCTTACACTGTCATAAAGAGGCACAAAGGATTGATACACATACATCTACTTTGGTGGGTAGGTGTCCTTGCATGCTTCTATTCCATTATTGTGCCCCATTCCACCACCAAATATTATTATCTAGCCTTAATTTAAGTACAATTGGCTATGATATCTGCAACATCAGAAAATTTCTTCCTAATTAAGCTTCAAGGTTTGAATTCACATTCTCCTGCACTATACAACAAATGATAAAATCTTCTCGCATGAAGGAATCTTGCACGAACAAAATGCATGGAGGCACAAAAGAAAAGTTCTGAAAATGAGCCAAATAACTGCACGCACAAAATGCATGGAGGCACAAAAGAAAAGTTCTGAAAATGAGCCAAATAACTTCAGACGTGGATAACTTGTGATCTCTGGATTAAATTTTGTGCACTTTGTATTAATTAATGGTTGAAAAAAATATGAAATCTAATTTTTCATGGCTGAACATATTAATATCATCTCATTATTAATTATACAACTAATTAAATTTAAAACCTTCCACGAAGAGCGACCAGATGTTACTAATAAACAACAGTATTTCTACTTATTACTCCCTTTTATTATCATGACTAATCAAATATGGAAGGAAAATTAAGAAAATCTAACACAGTCACGAAGATTAACATTCTTCTTCCTTTTATTTTATGTTTTCGAAAAGTAGAATTCTCAATTTAAATCACTTCAAATTCATCCGAATCAGAGTCAATAAATTTTTTTTTAGATTAAAAAAGAAGAATGAAAGAAATGTACTTGGGAACATTTTTTTCTATTGTGATTTGGACCCTTAAACCTTCCTTGATATGAATCTCTTTTACCGGAAATATTTATGCACATTTTTACATTGATATGATATCTATTTTAAATTTAAACTTTCATGAATTTGTCATTTATCATCAATTACTCAAAAAGTCTCATGCCAATAGAATGAGATATACATGTATTTTATAAACTTATGTTTCTCCCCTTTTTTTAATGATGTGAGATTCTATTTATATCTAAACAAGAAAGTAAGTGAAAAGAAAAAATAATTAGAAAGTGACTAAATTTTTAAAGTGTTTAATCATAAGTAGAGAAATATATATATATATATATATATATATATATATATATATATATTTTGTCATTACTTCCATAAATCCTTTTTTGGTTGTTGTCAAATTGTGCAATATATATGCGGGTATCTTTAAATAAATTTACCTGCACCTATTACTCTTGGTTTGCAAATATAGGAGCACTAGTATGGAATTTTTATCGATTTAAAAAACAAATCAATAGTTTGATTGAATTGATCTTTGTTGAAGCAACTTATGTTTGTCCCGAACATAAATATAATTAAAGTACAAAAATTGTAAGATGAAAATGAATTAAAACTTATCTTGAATGAGGGAACAATAAAAAGAAACTCATGTCGTTTTTGAAATATACTTTGGATTCCTATACACGTACTTAGCACGAATTTTGATAAAAACAAAATTGTTTCTTAAAGTTGTTTAATTTCTTTATGATTATTTATAGAATGAAAAACAAAATAAACACAACTATTTCCTATTTTAGAAGCTTTATTATTTTACCATCCTTTATTTCCTTCAAAAATGTTATATATATATATATATATATAAAATAATAAATAAATAAAAAAAGTGAACTATAGAGACTCATCTTGAACGAGAAACCTATTAAATGAAACTCGCGTTATTTTAACACAGAATTCTTGTACACATACTTAGCATGAAATTCAATAAATTAAACAAAATCGTTTGATCCATGTTATGCTTACTTGTTTCATAAAAAAAAATCAAAATAAATTGAACATTCTTAAGTATACTAAGATTCATGTAAGTAACCGATTAGCAGAAAAATGTTATTTCTGACACACTTTGGATATTTACACACATAACATGAAGTTTAATAAAATAAAACCATTGCTTAAATGCATTTCCTTCTCCTTATGCTTATTTAAACAATCAATATAAACACAATCACATCTTATGATTTTATGTTTATTCTTTTTCCATCCTAATGTTTTTAGAAACTAGAGAATAATGATCAATGCTATGATGAACTAATTTCACATGTGGTTTATAATACATCACACCATTATATGGGCCTTTTGTACCAAATTTCTTTGGTGAACCTTCTCTACCATATTTTCTTCTTTTGTTTTTCCTTCTTTCATCTTCGTAACGTACTTCTTCGACCATCCTTACTTCCTCTTCGCTGATTTGGGATGAAATTGTGGACACCACCCATTGAAGGTATACAATAAACTCCATGGTATTCAAATGAAAAACAAATATTGTATGCAGCCAACCTTTAAATAATCACAACACTACCCAATAGATAGTGCATTACACAATTGTGCGAATAAAATAAATCAAATGATGAATAAAGGTACACAATAAATCACCTATCAAAGTGATATACCGTAACAGTCATCATTGATTTTCAAACACAAATGAGCATATAAAGAAGAAAACATTTTTTTATTAATTAATTTCATTCTAAGTATGTGTATAAGAATCAAAGTGTCAAAAAATAATGTTTCTTATTCAAGACAAGTATATAGTTTACTTATATAAATCAGTAATTTTTCACCAAAATCACACACACACACCATATATATATATATATATATATAAAAAGTGCGTATTCAATAATATCTTATTATGAGAAATGAGAAAATTAAATAATATTCATTAGATTATAGATAAAAAATAATTAATAGTTGGAATTATAAAAACTCACTTATAAGATCATTCTTTTTGCTGCTTCTACAACATACCACTATCCACTTTCATTACTATCCTTATCATCATCGTTGATGTTTGCTACTACAATTGCTATTATCATCGTCACATGACGATAACAATAATGGTAATGATGATGACAAAGACAACGATAATGATGACGGTAGTAGTACGTAGTAGTAGCAACGACAGTGTATATAAGTAGTTGAAGAAACATCAAAAGGAATTTTATTATAGGCGAGTCTTTGTAATGAAAAAATTTTAATCTCAACCATTAATTATTTTTACCAATAATCTAAAGACTAATGATATTTGGCTCTCTCATCTGTTATAATAAAACATGTTTTTTATTGCTTCTTTGTGTATGTGTGTGGAGTCAAATAATGTAAATGTCGTTTAATATAGTTTCCCATTCATGACAAACCTTACTTCAATTTCTCCTTATAAAAAAATTGTATTTTTTTCAATGTCATCTATATATTGAGAGCATGTATTCAATGAGAATATATTTTATTATGAGAGATAAAATGGTTAAATAATAGTCACAATTAAATTATAGATAAAAATAATTAATGATTGAATTTTATTAAAACTTGGTATTATAGATACTCACTTACGAAATCATCTTTATTGTTACATCCACAATTACCATCACCCATCGTCATTACTACCATTACCACTAACATCGTCGTTATCGTTGACATTATTACTATAATCACTGTCGTTACTGTTGGTAACGTCAGTGATAATAATAATGACAATAATAACGATAACAATAGTGGTGATGATGGTGATAATGATAAGTGGTGATAACAATATATGTAACAATATACAAATGATTTTATAAGTGAGTGTTTATAATAAAGTTTTAATCTCAATCATTAATTATTTCTATCTATAATCTAAATGTTATTACTTAATTTTATCATCTCTCGTAATTAAATATGTTTTCATGGGATACATTCTTTATATATTTGTATATAAGTTTTAATATAATTAATTTTGGATTAATATTAAAAATAATATTAATATCATTTAATATATTCAAGAAAAACCTTACTTCTCTCTCTTCCTGTGAAAAACTTGTAACTTTCCCGGTGTCATAAACTATAATGTGGATCCAATCCTTCTTCTTGGAGTGAGAACCAAAAGCTGGATTAGTTCGCTGTATGGCATGATAACACGTCCAATTCATTTGTTAGTACTAGTACAATTAATCAATCAAAAACTAAACATTACACCAACACTTAGTACCTTTTTTGAGGTTATATAGGTTTTGGTTTTGCTGCACACGTCATTCACTACAAAGATTGCATCATTAATTGTTTTTTAACCAAAAATCCTGCAACTCCAGTTCTTGTCTATGAAGAGAAAAGAAAAAGTCCATAAAATCAGGACGTACAATACCCTAGGACACAGAAAAACAAAAAGAGACATTTAGATCCACAAGATCAGCATGTAAGTACGCAAAAGGTATATATACTCAATTTATGAACAGAATAAAAAGAAAAGGGATCAAAAGATTAAACTGTTGGTGAATTTTTGAACGAAACGAAACAAAGAGAAGAGTGAGCTAAAGCATGAAGCTTATTGGGAGGGAGAGAAAGAGTGAAAGATGAGTGAGTTTGGGTTGGAAGGAAAAGAAAGACGATTAGTGTTTGAAAAGAAAGAGAAGCGGAAGAGAGAGAAAGTAGGGGAAGCATAACAGGAGAAACGAGGCTGTCTGATGCTGTTCCGTTCTTCCTTTCTTTCATTTTATAGCGTCTGAATCCTCCTCGGTAGTATCGAATACAAAGAATCTTATTTCTTTTAAATATTTTTTTTAGTTTATATTATAAGTTATTCATTCATACATTATCAGAATAAAATTTTTTACACTCACAATCAATCATATTTTTTAAATTATTTTATTTTATTTTTATTTTATTAAATGAGTAATTGACATGACACTATTAAAAGATATGATTAGTTGTCGGTGTAAAAAAAATTTATACTGACAATGTATAGGTGATTAACTCTTATGTTATTACTCTTTAGTTTCTATAATTTAAAATATTTTTTTAGTTATTATACTTATTTTTCAATTTTTAAATTTCTATAATTTTAGATATATTTTTTAATTTTTATATTTATAATTTTTTAGTTCTTTTAATTTTATCAGTATTTTTTTAATTTTGCTTACTTTGCATTAAAGTAATAGAAGACTTCAATTTTATAATGATAAATAAATGTCTTGACAATGAACATCGTAAGTAAGTATATAAAAGGTCCAAAATGTTGATAAATATTTAATTTAGAGTAATTTTAAAAACAATAAATTTGACATAAAAAAAATGAATTAATATATTTATTATATTAATACAAAAAAAATAATATTATAAAAAGAATAACTATATATATATATATATATATATATATATATATATATAATATTATATAAATGAAAAAAAAGAGTATATTTTAAATTAGATGATTAAAAGATAAAGTAAAATTAAGAGACTAAAAAAATTATTTAACCTATCTTTTTTAATGCTCTTTATATTATTTGTACAAAGTATTCACAAATTTCCTAGTTTATAAGCTAGTTTGATAAAAAAAAAATTATTTAGTTTGAAAGTTTATTTTAAAAATTTATATTATCTTTGTTATTATACAAAAGATCCAATTATCTATTTCATCAATATTAAGAAAAATAATTAATTTAGTTGATAGTAATAAATATATATATATATATATTATTTTTTTAAACTACTCCTTATATTACTTTTTTTTTCCTAATTAATACTATATCTTCTAACCAATTAAAGTGTATATCTTATATTATTTGTCTCTCTCAATTAATATTTATGTCTCCTAACTAATTAAAGTACAAATACTTTAAATAATTTATAAATATTGCATTTTCCCAAATTAAGAAAAATATTTTAATTAAAGATATTTTTGTGTAAAAATAATTAATATATGAGACAATATGAATAAATTGAGTCTTATAAATAGGAACGAAGGTAATAATTTATATTCAAAAATTAATCAAAGTAATTCATATTTTATATATAAAATATTATTTATTTATTCATTTATTTGATTTTTTTTAAATTTTAAAACACTTTCATCCAGTCTCCTACTTTAAAATAAAGATATTTAGTCTCTTTGTTTTTTAAAAATACATAATTTTAGTCCTACCATCAGCTTGATGTTCGTTAATTGTTAAATTTTGATGTTGTTTGATAGTTGGTTACTATTTAAGTAATATGATATTTAGTGACAAAATATGTAGGAACAAAAAATTAAAAATAACATACAAAAGATCTTAGTTTGTGTCTATTTTAATGAAATAATTATTTTATTCATAAATCTTATTTACATGATTTTTTTTCAAATGTCATGTTACTAAATGTCACATCACTTAATAATGAATAATGTTAAAATTTTAAGATTAATAGATGTCAATTTAATGGAATAACTAAAATTTCGTAGTTTCAAAATTAGAGGATTTAAATGTCTTTATTTTAAAATAAAGGGATCAAAGTTACACATTGACAAAAATAAAAGAATCAAAAGTCCAATTTAGTTGATAAACATGTTTATTTTATATTAATCACCTAACTTATCAACTATGTTTAGTAAATATTTTTTAATTTAATTAGTTATTAGTTTATGAATTTCTAGCTTTTGGGCTCTTAATTTATTATAAATTAATTTTACCAAATACATATCGTATGTTATTGGTTTAAAATTCACCGGTAAACACAAATTTTCGTTGATTTTGGTAAATCTTTAGTAGATTTACCTCTTAATCACATTTTTTTTCCTTTCATAATACCTTATTTAAGAGATCGATAAATATTTAGTGAAATTTTTATAAATATATATGAAAAACAATATTTTTTAAAATATAAATAAATTTAATTACTTTTCATTATTTAATGAAATTTTATCTAAAATATTTTTTTTAATATTTCTAACAAAGACAATTTTAAAAAATCTTATGTGAATAATAAATTTTGATACAAATAATCAATTTTTTTTTAATATAAGTCAAATCAATTTTTTATATATATAAAGAACACATGAGTATATACGTATAAATAAACAGGATTTTTTTTATAATGTATCAATTGTTTCATTTTCAATATAAAATATAATTAATTAGAATAATATTATTAACTAATATATTTATTCAATATTAAATATTCATTAAATCCATATCATAATACTGCTTATGGTCTTAAATTAATTGATATGAAAATTTTTAAATTTAACCAATTTTCTCGAGTTCGAATTATAGGTATACATACTAAATATTAGAGGGATAACACTTTTCATTATAGTTTTATTGGACTTAAATAAGATTGTTATAATTCATAATAAAAATATATATTACCTTCGTTCTTATTTATTAGACTAAACTTAATTAAAATAATTATTTATTTTTTTATATAATAAATACATAATTTATATTGTCATATATAATAATTATTTTTTTACTAAAAATATTTTTAATTAAATTGTGTTATTTTAATTTGATAAATTTTATTAGTTATAAATTCTTTATAGAGTATGTATTGGTTAGGAGAAAAATGAGTATTAACTATAAGAAAGAAATAATATTGCACATGTACTCTAATTTGGTTAGAATGTGTACAAGTATATTAGTTAAGAAAGAGAAATAGTACAAAAATAATTTTACGAATATATATAGGACAATTTTTTTTATCAACTAAATTAATTATCTTTCTTAATCTTGGTAAATTAGATAATTGAACATAGGAACAAAGGTATAGTAACATATGCATGTATTAAAAATATTATTAAATAAAAAGTAAGCATTAAATATAATTTTTATTTATGAAATATAATTAATATTTGACTAACATTAATCATATTATTAAATATTAAGATTATTAAATAAAATAGATTTATGAGATTTAGTAAATGCTTATTAAATATAACATTAATTATTATATTTATTATTGAAATAAATTTATTAAATATTTATTGCATATAGTATTAAAACTTAAATATATTTATAATCTTTACAAACATGACTCTATATCATATTAACTAGGAGTGAAAATAGGTTAGGTTGAATTATTATATTTTTAAGGTTTAATATGACATTCAAGATATATTTTTATGAACTAATATAACTTATTTAAAATATATTTTGTAATAAAATCTTTAAATACCACATAAATTTATCTTTAAATTAATTTATAAGTCTTTACTTTTTATATAAGTCAACATCTTTAATATTTATAAAGATAAATAAATGTATAATTTTAATATTTCATAACAAAATTAATATAATATATATATATATATATATATATATTTAATATGTTGGCCTAATAGACTTAATAAAGCTTTTTAAATGACCTAAAACTTGGCCTTTTAAATTAAATAAACGTTAATAAAAAATTTAGTCTAAACTAAAAAAAAAAACCTAACTTAGGTTGGGCTTGGGCTTGATGTAGGCAAGGTCATAGGCCTTGGACAAGTCATTTGACCTGTTTCTACTCATAATCTCAATGCTTGTAAAAAAGTTGTCAATTTTAGATAATTGATATTTTCTTAGTTTTTTTAACCTCAATTTTTATGGTCAGAAATGAAAAATATTAAGATAATTAAGGTAACAAAAAATATTTTAAATTAATATAATTATATTTTTAGTAGATAATTTAATAAGTAATTTAGTATACAGTTTTACTGTCTATATAATGAACATACCCACTTCAAACAGGATTCTCGTAGTTTATAAAAAAAAAAAAATATTCTAAAGATACTATGAAATAAAAAGTAAATATAAAATATAATATTTAGTTTTGAAATATAAGAAATATTTGATTAACATTTTTTTTGTAATAATATTATTGGTATAAAATATCCATCGACTTCATTGATAATAATATCCATTAGAGAACTTGGTTGGTCACCTTTAGTGAGATCTCCCTTTTCACCCATATTTTTTCTATATACAAGACTCGAACTTGAAACTTTATTTAAGAAAATCGAGTTCAAACTGTCCAATATTATTTGAACCAACGACTTGTTATTATATTTAACTAACATTAATCATACTATTAAATATTAAATTTAAATAAAACAGATTTATGATATTTAATAAATATTTATTAAATTTAATAAAATATGTTTCTTGCAAATAATATTAAGATTGAAATATGTTTTTAGCCCTTACAAACAGGAACATGTATTATTTCAGTGAGGGATGAATATAGACTAGGCTAAACTAGGATTTATTAGGTTTGGATTTGGCCGTCTTAGTTGAATATACTTGGCTTAAACTTGACTAGTTTATCAGAGTCATAGGTTTATTTTTAAAAGGTCTAGATTTGACTTATATAAAAGTTTGATCTAACTAAAAATTTAAAAATTCACTATAATAATCTAACATTAATGTAGATGTAAAAATATATTAAATTTTATAAAAATTGAATATAACTTATTTATATGATACAAATGTACTTTTAATTATATTTTATTGTCTAATAAAACTTATTTAAAATATATTTTGTAATAAGATCTTTAAATACCACATAAATTTATCTCTAAATAAATTTATAAGATTTTAATTTTTATACGAATTAACATCATTAATATTAATATAAAGAAATAAATGTATAATTTTAATATTTTATAACAATTTAATATAATAATAATAAATTTTTTTATATTTTATTTTAAATAGACT